GAGATATAATGTCAATTGTAGAACTCACTCAATTTAGAGAAGAAAACTCACTGTCTCAGTCTGTGGCTCAAGAGGGCACAAAACAATCTATTACTCTAATTCTTAATAACTATAAAAAGTCTTTTTATCAACATGAATTCAAAACTAGAAAAGTCAGTTGAATTGGTTCAGCCTGCTGCTGAATTGTACTCTTCATAAAAATCCCTTTGATAAAGCTCTATTTCATGTCCACTTAGAACAGGGAACAAACTTTCTTGTAATCAGTAGGGAAAGTCTGGATATAGATATCAACTAAAACTATCGATTTCTCTTGGGTGTAGACCATCTTCACAGTTGTTTATTTTTTTAATCTATTGCCTATATTCATGGTTCAAAGCTAGATGAATCATAGAGCTTCAAGAGATACTTGCTAAGCTGTGGGTTGAAGTTGGTTGGTGAAATGGAGCAATGAAGGTTGTTATTTGTTATGCAAAACTGCAAATATGGACTGCTAAACAATTTAATGTTATCTTGAGTTCTGAATATGACTGTATCTGACATTTCCATAGTATATACATTGCCAGATATGTGCATGCAAGATATGTACATATGTGCTCAGTTGTGTCTGACTCTTTGTAACTCCGGGGGACTGCAGCCCACCAGGCTTCTCTGTCCGTGAGATTTTCCAGGCAAGAATACTGGAGTGGGTTGCCATTTCCTTCTCTAGGGGATCTTTCCTATCCAGGGAGTGAACCCGCATCTCCTACGTCTTCTGCATTGCAGGCAGATGCTTTACTGCTGAGCCCCTGGGGAAGCCCACATTTCAAGAGCACAGATTAATTTATTCTGTGAAAACATAATTCAGAGATAGTTGAAAAACAGTGACTTCAGTTTCTTACCTCGGTGCTTTTAAGAGTCTTTAACCACTCTTCGATCTCAATGGTGGAAACCTCTCCATCAGTCTCCAAAGTTGATGTCCTTTGAGCAACACTCTCCAGATTCTGCCTCAGTTTCCTGATTTCTCTGGAAGGAAAGTCATTTAGGTCTGTCCCTCCTCTTTGCTCTCCCTGCTACTGCTCTGCATTCCAGTAAAACTGAACTACTTGGAGGGCTAATGAAAGAAGGTTTTTCTTCCCTCTCGGCTCCTGCTAAAAAAGCATAAACAATTACACAAACACTGAAAAAGTCAACACTGGTTATTAAATATAGACTCCAAAGTTATAATGTTGGAGCTCCTCTGAGAATTTAGCTAAGATTTGATAAATTAAATCTCTAGACCTTTCCCTTGGCTCCCCCTGGTTACCCTTTGCTTTCAAGCACTAGACTGAAAGGATTGATTCCTAGAAATCCAAATTACTAAACTGACTAACTCTTGTGAAAGTTCCCAAGGCTCAAGTGCATTTTTTTATAGTAATATAAATCCAACTTAAAAAAAAAATAAAAAAAAAAACCTGGGGCCCCTTAACGCCCAATCCCCCAATTTAAAAAGTGTATGTGGGTGGTTCTCCTCCCTCCCAACTCTGTCTTTCCCTACAGAGCATCAGACTGAAGCAATGACAGAGATAGCACATGGCACCTTTATTACACTCCTTTTATTACAAAGTATTAATGTTTCTCAAATATTATTTTGTTAAACAGCATTATTTTCTAGACCAGTTTTTCCCAATTATTTTCCATTTCTACAGCTAATCTTGGATTTCATTTAAAAAGAGGAAAGAAATGGCATGTTTTTAGTTATAGTCTAACTATGTCAATGTAAGTGAGGTTCAGAGGACTGAAGTATTTATTATGCTTCTTGGGTGGGGAATTGGTGCTAACAGATTTCAGGTGCTTACAAGAAGTCTGCTTCAGGCATGCACACACAGGCCAAACATGGTGAGTCAGTGATGCCAGAATGTACTGCAACAATTTGATAACATTTTCATTAAAAGCAGCAGAAAGAAAACATGCAAAATAAGATACACTGAGTAAGCCTTTTCTCCTCATAAAAGGCCACAAAAATTGAGAATACGTTCATGGTGCAGACTCCAGACAGCTTGAAATAAATTATAGGACAACATTAGTTAGGTTCATTTTAACTCTCATCTGAAAATATATTTCCATCCTTTATTTTGGCTTCTCTCTATCTTCCTTTTCTCTCTCTGTGAAGTATGTGATTTCTATGGTTTCCATGCAAAAACTGATCTGAACCTTCTACTACCTTAGAAGAATATAAAGTGAAAGTTTATAATAATAATAATTTTAGCAAATTATTATTAAAATCAAGTCAATCATTGTTAATATCACGAATTAAGAGAGTTCAGGGATAATTTCTGATGAAAGTAAAATCTTTGGAAATTCGGAGAAGAATTTTTGTTTGACTTAATTAAGAAGGACCTTAGCATTTATGGTTCATTCACAGCAGTAAAACAGTGATGCTCATTGGTCTTCATGGGGCCACACATGCACACATGCACACACTATAAGGTATGACTCTTCTGTAGGCTCACTTGCTCCTCTTGAGTCTAGGGCTAGGCCATAAGCGTGTGTCCTCCTTTAGATGTGTTTATCTAATTAGCAGTAGGAACTTCCAAGTAGATTAAGTCCTTGAGTACTGAATATTGCATTTATTTGTCTGCTGTACTCAAAATGCATACAATATCTAGTAGCAACATCTTGAAGTTTTTCCAAAGCTACAATTATGTTTTTCTAGTGAAGCAAGGATCAGAAGACCTTCTTCACACAAATCTCAACAAACTGCTGCCCTTATACCAGTTGCTGTTCCTCTTGCACTTGCAGAATCACAGCTGGGTCTCCTCCTGAAAAGATAGCACATAAAATTGCACTAAATATGCATTAAATTACTTTGCAAAATGATAGTGGCATCCATTATAAATCCTGTGTTGGAGGAGTTTAATCAGCTATTTAAATTTTCATCAGCATGCAAGTCAACATGCGAGTTCTTGGCCAAAGGCATTCTATTTACCACGTAAATATTTGTTGATTAAGAAAAGCACAGACCCCTACATTTTTCTATGGTTTCAGAGGCACACAAGTATTTCTCAGGAGAAATAAATAAAAACATGAAATTTTTAAAAATCAAACTTGAATATTGATACGTTGTTTAGTTGGCAACTACATTTCCTATGAATAATATGCCACTTCACAGTGATTTAATATTAATATTTTTCAGGAAATCAGGTATCAGAGAGTGGAATTAGAGGGCACAGAAAATTCTAGTAATTGTAGTTTAGAATAACAATGCTAATAAATGTGAAGCAACCTATTTACTGATTGTATCACATGTTTTTATCTTATTTTCTTCTGTGTTAAATCTTTTGTCCACCAGACCACTTATACCAAATGGCAAGGAATGGAGTATTTGAGGTTATAGTATTTTATTTTCTCATTTGTTTTCACATTTACCTGCTCTGAGTTACATTCAGGGTATGGATCCTTATTGATCAGCTTCAGAAAACAAAACTGGGGCATTTTCCAGCGGCTGGGCTCCAGGGAAGGAGTCAAGGGGAAGGTGTCTTCTTGTCCCCATCAAAGTCAGTCCTTCATTTACAGAGCTCTGGGTGTCACACAAGTGCTGGAGTGAGGACCGTGAGAAAGCGAGGAAGGGAAGGAGGATAGAAGGGAACTGAAGTCACCTTGAACTTGGTAAGGACTGATTAGTTCCTAGATTACTGAATACATTGATTTACACATTTCCCTAAAATAATTTATTATCCTGAGATGAGAGGCAGGAATGGTGATTCTTTATAGAAAATGGAAATGGGACTGCCCAATGAAAAAAGAGAAAAAGCACCGTACTTGGATATTATGGTTTTGCTCTTTGAATGGGAGTTTGTAATATCAGAGATGTTTAAATTCGCAGTTATGATTATATTTCTAATATCTAGCAATTAATCTGACAGATGTAAAATGATAAGGTTCTAAAAGACAGTAGAAGATCATTTAGGAGAACCTCTCTTTCCTTTTGTAAGAGACAGTTTAAGCTATAAGTGTGCATCCTCATAAAAGTCATGTGGTATTTTGTCTACTCTGCTTTATTGTATCCACCAGAATTTAAGACCAGTGATGAAAAGAATTTTTCTGTTTTGTTAACTTCCTTATCCTTGTAACCTAGGATGGTGTCTGGAACACAGTGTTCATTGAATGAGAGGGTGAATGAATGAATGAATGAATGAATAAAAGTGTGCTTAGGAGACTAACAGAATGAAGTGGAGGCAGGTGACATTTTAAACTGGAAGCACAGTGCCTTTGCCAGGGTTTCTTCTATGTAAATCAAAGCTGCCGAGTTCAATTGTTAGGGCTACTATTGTTAGGTGAGAGATTTGAGTGAAGACAATAGTACTTTTATTCAGTTTAGGTACTGTTATGTGATACTCTCTCCTCATTGAAGATGTCACTACCAACATCTATATAATTGAAAGGAATTTTAAAAAGTTATTGGCAGCTAGCACATGCTTCCATTATTCATGCATAAAGTCTTACCCTTGTTTTTACATGGAATCTTTTGCAGGCATTGGTTAGCAAACTGCCTTTAAGACGATGTCACCCCGAGCCTTGGCTCCACAAATCTGTAATGCTACTTGACCGCCCATTGCCAAGTAGGCATATGACCCTACGCAAATCATNTACATGGAATCTTTTGCAGGCATTGGTTAGCAAACTGCCTTTAAGACGATGTCACCCCGAGCCTTGGCTCCACAAATCTGTAATGCTACTTGACCCCCCATTGCCAAGTAGGCATATGACCCTAGGCAAATCATTTAGCTTCACGGGGCCTCAAATCCTTCATCTAAGGAGGACAAGTTAGGGTGTTCTGGGAGAGCGCCAAGGTTCCTCCCAGCGTAATAGTCTATGAATTTACATTCTAAGATTTACCTTCACTGCTGCTTGCAGTCTACATTATATGGCTATGTCACACTTGAGTGTATTTTACAAGTGTGTCTCCTGCTTCCTGTTGCCCTTAGTAACTTGCCATTGTCACGCATCTGCCCCTCTTCAATTGGGAGTTGGGGTGGGTGGAGCTTCCATTCCCACAAGCACAGATGCGTCCATCACTGAGGCCAGAGGGTGAGACAACTATGGGGCTGTGAATATCTTTCTATTTAGTGTCGGTAAGATCATAGGTAAGTCATGTCAGTATTCAAGAAGTTGCAAATAAGGTATCTCTTAAGTCCGTATCTCAAAGCTGCACGGAACACAGATCACTCATTTTCCTGCTGAGTGTTGTGGGTATGCATGCTTGCTTGTCGAATGACTGTGAGCGTATGAACCACCGGCAGAAAAGAAATGAAGATGTGATCCTGAGATAGAAAACCATCAATTCTTTCATAAATACAGGCACTCTTACAAGCNGTATCTCAAAGCTGCACGGAACACAGATCACTCATTTTCCTGCTGAGTGTTGTGGGTATGCATGCTTGCTTGTCGAATGACTGTGAGCGTATGAACCACCGGCAGAAAAGAAATGAAGATGTGATCCTGAGATAGAAAACCATCAATTCTTTCATAAATACAGACACTCTTACAAGCAAAATGAGAGCAAGTGTTTTCAGAACCACAATAGTACCAATTAGCTCACAAAACATCTCGCTAGTTGGATGGGAAAAGATTGACTCAGAAATCTATTCTGTTCTCTGGGGCAATGAGAAGTTTGTCTGCTCACAGTACCTTTAATCCTGCTCTCTGCTTCTATGTACTGCAGGATAATGGCTCTGCTACCAAAATCCTTCCTGATTTTGAGCCTCATTTCCTTTTTCTTCTTTCCATTCATTTCATCTTAATCATACACTTTTAAAGCCTCTTGAAGTGTTCTCTTTTCAATGCATTTAATCACTCTATAAGTATTTGAAAGATGATCATAAAAACTCTATTCATTTAAACACTTTTAAGTTAATCATACTGCACACTTTCTCTTTCTTCCCCCCTCCTACCGCCCTCCCTCCCTCTCTCATCGTATTGAGAACTGTGAGATTCTCTTGGCAATGATTTAAAGTTTATCTGGTTAATCTGAACAGCTGTTTATCTGATATTTGGAAGCTCACTGGAGCAATATCCGGTTTTCAAGGTAAATAAACTTACCCCTTTCCCTCAGAGTTGTTGGACGTTTTGGACATTTTGAATTTTCAAAATCAGTGTCTTTGCCAACTCCCCTCATCCTGTTTTATAAACTCACCATCATCTGCAAACTATTATCAATACCCAGCGTGCCAGCCTCCTGGGAAATAAAGGGTAGAGAGATTCAAAATATTGTCTCAGACTTAAGAGGAAAGGAAGTTCATGAACATGAATATATTTTTAAGTCATATATTGGTAGCATATTCGAAGTGGTAAATTAATGAGGGAAGTAATAATTACTGCAGGAGTTCAGAAGGAAAGGCAGGGGCAAGTGGAAAGGTCCGGGAGGAAGGAGGGCAGTGGTCCTCTAGGCTTCAGCCTCACAAATGGAAACCCAGTTATTGTGAAAGTGTTCCATCCACCACTAAAGCATCCAGAGATGGATTTCGGAAATGACAGGGAAGGGAACATCTCTGGCAGTCCAGTGAGTAAGACTTCACGCTTCCAATGCGGAAATGACAGGGGTCACCTGAAATGGCTTGGGAATTTTTGTTTTTCTGTCCTGATTTTTCCTGGCAGAGTCAGCTTTTTACTGAGTTGAGGAAAACTTTTCTCCTATTTATGACTGGAGCTCCCAACTCCCAGTATAGGATGACTCCTGCTCAAGAACTTAGGCCACTCTGGTTCTTAGGATGTTTGCCTCCACTCTGGCGTCAGCACTGTACCCATTTCTTGAATTCCTGTTTTGTAAATCTGGAGGTAAATTCTGATGCCTCAGTTCAGTGCAGTTCAGTCGCTCATCGTGTCTGACTCTTTGCAACCACATGAACCACAGAACACCAGGCCTCCCTGTCCATCACCAACTCCCGGAGTTTACTCAAACTCATGTCCATTGAGTTGGTGATGCCATCCAACCATCTCATCCTCTGTCGTCCCCTTCTCCTCCCACTTTCAATCTTTCCCAGCATCAGGGACTTTTCCAATGGGTCAAGTCTTCGCATTAGGTGGCCAAATTATTAAATACTTTAATTTTGATGCTGTTATGAATGTAATTGTTTTCTTAATTTCGTTTCTAGTTGGTTATATACTGATTGTATATTTGTTGCGTTATTGCACTGGCTAGATGCTCTAGTGCAGCGTGGAATATAAGTGGACTTCCTTGCCTTGTACCCAGGGTCAGGGGGAAAGCAGTGTCTTTTTAAGCGTGATGTTAGTTGTAGGTTTTATCTAGCTGTTATCAAATTAAAGAAGTTTCTTTCTCTCCCTAGTTTATTGAGAGCTTTTTCATGAAGATTTTCTGCATTTTATCAAATGCTTTTTCTTGTTATAATCACATCTAAGAATGGTTTGACTTCTCATGAATTATAAATATTAATATTTTATCAACAGCTTTTTCTACACCTTTAGAGATTATCCTATTCCCCTTTAATCCAAGTCAGCAACATTTTCCAGAAAGGCCTGTATAGTAAATATTTTTGGTTTTGTGAGCAATATGATCTTTGTTGCAGCCAATCAACTCTGCTCTTGTAGAATGAAAGTAATTATAGACCACATGTAGATGAGTGGGCATGATTGTTTTCCAACAAAACTTTATTAACAAAAACAAAAGCCATGCCAGATTTGGTCTTTGAGCTGTGGTATGCAGACTTGTGCTTTATTCTGTTACTACTATATGTATTACATTAGTTGATATTCAGATGAACTAGCCTGCATTCAGTTCAGCTCAGTTCAGTCACTCAGTTGTGTCTGACTCTTTGCGACCCCATGAATCGCAGCACGCCAGGCCTCCCTGTCCATCACCAACTCCCGGAGTTTGCTCAAACTCATGTCCATCAAATCAGTGATGCCATCCAGCCATCTCATCCTCTGTCGTCTGCTTCTCCTCCTGCCCCAATCCCTCCCAGCATCAGGGTCTTTTCCAATGAGTCAACTCTTCCCCTGAGGTGGCCAAAGTATTGGAGTTTCAGATTCAGCATCAGTTGTTCCAATGAACACCCAGGACTGATCTCCCCTAGGATGGACTGGTTGGATCTCCTTGCAGTCCAAAGGACTCTCAAGAGTCTTCTCCAACACCACAGTTCAAAACCATCCATTTTTTGGCACTCATCTTTCTTCACAGTCCAACTCTCACATCCATACATGACCACTGAAGAAACCATAGCCTTGACTAGATAGACCTTTGTTGGCAAAGAAATGTNTTTTTGAGAATGCATCCAAGTACTGCATTTCGGACTCTTTGTTGACTATGATTGCTACTCCATTTATTCTAAGGGATTCCTGCCCACAGCAGTAGATATAATGTTCATCTGAGTTAAATTCACCCATTCCAGTCCATCTTAGTTCACTGATTCCTAGGATGTCAATGTTCACTCTTGCCATCTCCTATTTGACCACTTCCAATTTGCCTTGATTCATGGACCTAACATTCCAGGTTCCTATGCAATATTGCTCTTTACAGCATCAGACCTTGCTCTATCACCCTCAAGTTTCCAATAATCAAGCTTCCCCTGGGCTTATGTGGATGTATCCATCCCTACCAGCTACCCATCTCTGCCCTATCCCTCCAGAGAAAGAATTTTCTGTTGCTAAATAAACATCTCCAAGATAGTTTTCTAGTATCTCTTTCCAGATTTTCAAATACTGACCACTTGTCTCCCTGCTTTTTAGCTGTTGCCAAACACCCAGCTTGAAAGCATGTTTTGAAATTCAGGTACAGTCTAGAATCTTTGATTGGTCATGGTTTGGTTCTATCTGTTCTTTCCCCTTGATCAACTCATTTCCAAAATTTCATATCTTCCTCTGGATCCACAGTCTCATGCTTTGAGTTACTAATGTCCTTAATCCCTGCGATCACTGTCCAATCTTTTAGGATTCAATGCTTGTCTAACCCTAGACAAGAAGTATAAGTAATCTTGAGAGTTTTTTTTTTGTTTTTATGACTCTTAGACTTGAGCAAAGTATTGAAACTAATATAAGACCTAATGCAAATTGAGGTGGGTAGTAGGGGGTTATTGAGAAATGGAGAACATCCTAGTTAGAGGTAGGAGAAGAAATTTAAGGAAAATTAGAGAGGTAATCCTAGAGCAAGTTTGGGGAGGATGAAGCAGTTATGTGAAATAATAAGTATCCTTTTTATATAGTGGTTTTGATTGGAATAAAGTGTTCATACTTGGTTTATAATATCCTCTTAAATGGAGCTTCATAATTTTTAAAATTTGCAAAATCTCTAGAGATCTTTGGCAATATTGTTTCCTTGAGTCAATATTTAAAGCTTTTATTGAGTTTCTCTTTGTAGGTGATTCAAAATCAGGTATAATGTGTATGCAAGTACAGTCCTCATAATGCTTAGCATAGAATTGATCCTGGCACTGTTTTCACTATCATGTTGTAATATTTTGGAAGCACCATTTAGGGATTTAATGCCAAGATTGCAATCTCAATCTTGCTTCTTGAAATAATACACATCGCTAATAACCTGTGATTGTCACACCAGTAACAATTTGTACAATACCAAGAAGCATTATCATGAAGAACCCATTTTATTGGCAATTTTATATTTCTAAATGTAGTTTGTTTTTTAAAATGTGAATATTTCAATTTTGAGCTACTGTACCATGTGATGTTCTCCTTTTATAAAATTATTATTAACAGCACAAGCCTTGACTTTTAATTTAGCGTGGGTTTTGCTTATAATTTTTAAAGTACTTTTATGACTAGAAGCCATTTTTCAGTGATAATTAAAATTATATTAAGTGAATCTTGTAAAATCTAACACCATAAACTGTTATGGTAGTGCTAATCTGATAAATCTCAAAAGCAATGAATGTCATTAGCACTTTAAACACATGGAAAACAAATATAAAGGAAGATACAGAAGCAAACATAATGGTAGTCCTTCACGTTTAAAATAATTAGCAATAATGCTGATTTAAAAGCTGAGAATTTTCTGAGACTCTTGCAAGGGGATTAGAAGTTTCAAATTACATTGCTTTATTTTATTAGAAGAGGAAGAATACCAAAATCATTTTCCTAAAATATTTGCCACTGAATAAAAATGAACCTATGAATTGGTAAACTGAGCATTTACCTGCAAACAGCAAATGGAAGAAAAACTGGGAGGGAAACACAACACATCTTTAATAAATGCATATTAATTTTGTGAGCCTCCAACTTATGCTTCAGACTTTCTCTAAGCTTCCCTGGGAATTCTGTTACAGGTTCAGGTTGGATATTACAGCCCAAGGAACCCATGAAACATGAGGACAACACTGAAGTCCTTTGAGGCCCCAGTACTCCTTTGAAGAGGAAGAATTAAGGCACCAAGGTTAGTGTCGCACCATATCTTAGAACTGCATATGGCTATCCTAAAATAGTCCATTTCTCCCTAGGGCCAGTTATCAGGTCCACACCCACAGGAGACCATATCTTTACAATAGTCATTAAATTGTGTTTGAGAAAGTCCTGGACATTTAGGCTATAGAGCTTTCTACACAAAATAATAGTTTTTCTTCTAAAATCAAAATGTGAGATCATTTTTACACCCTCACCCTCTCAAACATAACAGCATTAAAAAGGAATCAGTCATAATTTTGAAGTCTACTTAAAGTTAGGGAAAGAGCAAATGGTTTCCTCTGAGGAAAATGTTGTTAAATTAAATTTTACCTTATTAATGTTCAGTACCATATGTATAATACAAAAAAAAATAACCATAACAGATTTTTGAGTTGAAATTTCTTAATTTAGTTTGTCCTCATACAAGTTTCTTTCCCTTGAGAATTTGGTTCAAAAAGTGCCTCCTCAACCGTGGAGAATTTCAGTTTTAGGGGATGAGGATTTTGTGGCAATTTTGTGGCAGAAAATTGGGTGAGATTTAGGAGACAAAATGAGCCCTAGGGGAAGTGCATGGGAGAGGTGTCCAGAGAGGAGGGTAGACCTGTTGCTTCTCCTCACTGTCACAGTGTAGTGTCCCAGGTTCCGAAGAAGAAGAAATAAGGATGATAACCCTTAGAAACAAGGCAGAATTGTCCACAGGTTTATGAAAGATGATCGTTGTTCTGGGACAGGAAGTTGTCTTCCTCAGCTGTTACCTAAAAACAACATAGACTGGGTTTCTTAAGCAACCAAACTACATTTCTGGGGACTGGCAAGTCCAAGATCAAGGTGCTGTCTTGATTCCTAGTGAAGGCTTTTGCCTCTTGGCTTGCAGACAATCATCTTCTTGCTGTGTCCTCACCTGACAAATGAAGAGAGATTGAGAGAGAAAGAATCTCAGCTTTGGGGCACAATTCAATCGATAGACTATTTTTTTTTCTTTTTTTATTCCTATATGTTTATTTCCTAGTCAAAGCAGAAGATAAAAGACAGAGGTTGACTAGTTCATCACTTGTGGAAGCACCTAACACCACATTCTAGGAAGGGAAGTTTTATTTTTTTCAGCTCTATAACACAGAGGTAGATAAAACAATGGTAATCAGCAATGCATGGGAGAGGATTTTTCAGTGTTGCCTTAAAACAGATATAAGAAGATGAGACAAATAACCCTAAGCCTTGCCTGTTAGGTAAGAAGCAGTTAAAAAGTGTCAGAGAGGGCTTCTCTGGTGGCTCAGTGGTAAAGGATCTGCCTGCCAATGCAGGAGACCCAGGGTTCTATCCCTGGGTCAGAAAGACCCCCTGGAGTAGGAAATGGTAACCTGGAGAATTCCATGGGCAAAAGAGCCTGGAGGGCAACAGTCCACGGGATTGCAAAGAATCAGACATAACTGAGCACATACATGTCAAAAATATTTATAGGGCTTTCATGTCATCAATTCCCTAAACCCGCTCCTACAGTCTTAAATTCCTCAGTAGTAAGTATTTCACATGAGAGTATTTCAAGAACACAGTGGAAGTCGAGGAAGGACTACTGTTTTATTCCTGATGTATTGTTTTTGAAGTTAAAAGAGACTACTACTCTGACTTCCTTTCCTGATAACGGGGAAGTATTTGAAGTAACCCACCCACATCCTCTTTCATAGCACCCAATCTTATTTCCAAGAGGTGGATAGTCACATGGATTTGGAGAAGAGATTTCTTTGGATCACACCGTTGACTAATTTTTCAGGAACATGGCATTTAATCAGCTGAACTAATGCCTTATACTGCACCATCCACTTGAGTCAGCATAGATCAGGTGATTATATTTTAAAAAATACATTCTTTGATATTTTTTTCATTCTTTAGTCTTACCTAATGTTTTCTTTTGGAATGACACTCTTTATTTCTTGACTTGTTGGGTCTTGTCTTTTCCGCAAACTATATTACACAGTAGCAGCTTAGAAAAGTAAAATACACACTCCATGCCACTTCATTATTCATAATTGTCAGGAACTATGTAGAACCAGTAAATGGCTCTGTGTCTCTCTCTTCTTTAATTCCAGTCACCCTTACATCCATCCAGATGTGAGAAGTTACTAATTGAGTGGGTAAATTTTTAATCCATATCCTTGATGAGCAGGGACAACATACGTTAAAAACTGATGAACTCAGATATATTTTTCCTTACGGAATTCAGCTTTGGATAGGAAATAATAAACCTAGTTTTGCCTTGAGATATAATCTGATTGTTAATCATAATAAATATGGAGGGTACCTACCATTCTTTTAAAGAATGTAGAGCAAACAGCAGTAATCTTATTGGCATCGGCCCAGCTTGGAAAGAGAGGGCACTTTGATTTTCATTTTCTCTTATTTCTTTGTGTTTATTTATTTATTTTTTTTGACAATTTTCTTTCTTTTTAAAAAAATTTTTCCATTTATTGTTATTAGTTGGAGGCTAATTACTTTACATCATTGCAGTGGTTTTTGTCATACTCTTTGTGTTTAAATTCACGTGTTAGCCTAAAATCCTAAGTGTGTCTATGAAGTAGAACTCCTTGCCAACTCTTGCAGGATATTTACCCTGGGCAAGAAGTATGGTTTTTATCTGATAAGAATTAGATTTCTAGTTATCATGCTATAATCTACTCTTGTCCAGATACAGCCTTCTGTGCTGCAACTATACGTCTCCTTGCTATTCAGCCTTCCCTCAACACTGCCGGCGTTGTCTCTTAGTTTTATCTTTGGGTTAGTGGTTCATTACACTCCCAGAGTCTTTCCCTTTAACTATTCGTGGGTGACTTGAGGTCTGATTTCTAAGTCATCTGGATTTCACTCAGGAATGAGGAGAGTTGTGTCTCTCAGCATTGTCCCAAGGTGAGCTAGATTGGTGTGTTTAGCTGTAACATGAAAGCCAGGTCTTGGTCTCTTTGTAGTCGAGCTGAGAGATCAGGAAGGCACTAGTAAATTCCTTTTCAACCCTTTATTCTCAACACTGATTTCACAAACACATCCACTGAATTCACATCAGACTTGCCTGGCAAGCTTAAAAAATATCAATAACCTTCACCCAGGGCCAATTCATGGGGTAGCAAGGGTGGGCAGATGTGGGTATTTAATATGCTGTTGCTTCCAAGTGCGGCTAGAACTGTGAATCCTCTTTGGGGAAGAAAATGAAGGCTCTTTCTTATAGTGTGATATTCTGGCAGGTGAAAATGATCCATATCATTTGAATGTCACTCTTATTACATTATTTACATGTTTTCTCCATTAATATCTGTCCTAACTAGACCTTAAAAGTTTTATGAGATCAAGGACTTCTGTATTTTATTTGCTTCCCAGCAAATATTGTCTAGTTTTCCCAGAGCAGGGAGCAGAGATCAGGACACAGTTGGTGCTCAATAAATATCCATAGAATGACTAAAATATCACTGGAAACAGAAGTAAGAGGTGAGTAGTGATTGTGAGGAAAACTTTGTCTAAATATGACCAAGGGTTATTTAATAAAGCAAATCATAGTAAAACATAAACACTATAATAAACAGTAAAAAGATGGTCAAAAAACAGGAACAGATAATTTAAAGAAGTATAAAATGTATTAGCTACGAGAAAACAAAATTTAATCTCACTGTAAGCAAACATTCAAATTAACATATTATAGTTTTATATATGTTTTATATTAGTTTTATATATGTGACCCCATGGACTGTAACCTACCAAGTTCCTCTGTCCAAGGGAGGTTCCTCTGCCTCTTCCAGGCAAGAATACTGAAGTGGGTTGCCATTTCCTTCTCCAGGAAGTCTTCCTGACCCAGGGACTGAACCCAGGTCTCCCGCATTGTAGGCAGACGCTTTACTATCTGAGCCACCAGGGAAGTCTCTAGTTTTATATAGTTTTTATCAAATTGACAGAGATTACATAAAGGTAAAGAAGTATGTATCTGATTATACCTTGTATATACAACCTGGCCACTAACAATAACAGTTTATGTAAAGAAGTTCTATATGTGAAGTACTATTCAGAGAACTTTCCTTGTAAAGCTATGAAGTACACAGGTAGGGACTATAGGCAAGAAGTGATTAGGCAGTTTGCTCAAGGTCACCTAGCTCATACTTCTACACAATTAGAAAAGTCAACGTAGGGAACAGTTTTCCGTTCTGAGTAAGAGTGTGTAGGAGACCGCACTGGACAGAGTCCACCCAGGGTCTAGAAGAATTAGAGTTCTGTGGCAGTAGAGAGCTTTTGGAGATCAAATATGATCTGCTTTTAATTTTTTCCCTTGATGAATAAAATTTACATTTGCTTTCTTTATCAATTTTTATTTATCTTTTCGGCCATACCTCACAGCTTACGGGATCTCAGTTCCTCGACCAGGGATTGAGACTGGGCCCTTGGCAGTAAAAGCAGGGAGTCCTAACCGTCAGACCACCAGGGAATTCCCAACATTTGCTTCCTTTAAAAAGCATGTTACAGCCTGGAGAATTCCATGGACAGGGGAACCTCGCGAGCTCTAGTCTATGGACTCTCAAAGAGTCGGACACGACTGAGCAGCTAACACTTGTATTTTTCAACATCTATTATCTTACTTCAGAGCAGAAGCCTGGAGAGGTGATGTGATCACAGAGACACTCTCAAGGCTAGGAAACTCAGTCCATTCCTTCTGACCACTTTCCCCTGCCACTGCCGACCTCCAGCCATCAGCTTCCCTGACAGCCTGCTGTGGATGCCGCTGCTGCTTCTGTCCTGGGGAAGACACCTTGGAAACAGCCCATGTGCTCTTGAGTGAAGTCTAACCAAGAGCCCTGATGTGACTCCGTGACTCTAACTGCTTGGAACAAAATAGGGAACCCCATTCTTGGTTCGTGGAGTCCGTGTTTCTGCTAGAGGTGAGAGATCTCCTCTTTATTAGCACGCCCAGGGCAAGGCCAAGGACTCTGCTGTTTCTCGTTAGCTACCCACATTTCTTCTATTAGCAGCATCAGAAAGAACTTTGTGAGAAGAGAAGGGGGCTGGTGAGAATTAAATCATACTTCTCAGGGCAGGGGAATGGGCGGACTGAGGAGTTGTTCATCACTCTGTATCACTGTGCTCGTATAGAGATTGTATAAAGTGTCATGTGGCAGTTTTATATCTGGTTTTCCAGAGATCGTCACTCAAGGGTATTGCCAGACAGAAGGGTCTGTGTCCAAGTAAACTCTTAAACCATCCCCTCAGGCCAGCCCTTTGTCCTTCCTCTCAGTGCAAATAAATGACTGCACAAATCTAACCTTAAAATGTGATTGGTGCTAATATTTACTGGCTTAAAGATATTTATGACACTTCTATTTAGGTATCATTTTGTTCTCCCTATCTTAAACAAAATTGTTTTTGATATTTTAATTTAAAAACATACCACAAGGAACTTCTCCCAAGGTGGTGGTGAGATTTTCTTTATCATAACTTCAGTTAATAAAGCATTTTGGGATAATGAAGGGTGAAAATCACAGGATAAATGTAAAAATTCTTATATTAATGAAGCATAACATATTATTGGACCCTTCATGGAATTTTCCATTGCCAAATCAAGGCTCATTATTCTGCACCTGAGCACCACAATCCCTAGAGTTCCATGGCATGTTTTAATAATAAGAGAAATGTCCCATTTTGTCTTATAAAACCTATTTTCCCTTTCTGATGGGCTGTTTTTTTTTCCTCACTAGCTTTTAGTATGGCCTCAGAGATTCATGCTTTCAAATATAAATTCCCTTAAGACATATCTTTTTCAATTGTGTGGGTTGAAGCAGGGTAGGGGGTTGCTATTATCTGAAAAACAGATTAGCAAGTCTTGCCAGAAAATTTGCATTGGAGGATGTGTAATGAAATATTTCCGACTTTGGGTTTATGATCCAAACCATGACGTCTACAGCACAGACTTCATGGTATTTTAAGACTATATATATATACATATATATGTATATATATATATATATATATATATATAATGGCAATCTTGTCTTTTTTAATTTCTATCATGGGCTGACATGTTGAACAATGTATATTGGAGACCCTGTTAAGAAAGGCAATGATTTCCTACTGCCTTCATTCATCCTTCTCCCAGGATTAATTTCTCCCTACTGTGTTCTCTCACTAGACTTTGTGTGTGGCCCTCTGTCTTTTTTTGTAATTGCCCACAGTTTTCTCATTCATAAAATCATTTCCATGCTTCACACATTGTTGGGGTTCAGTTGGATTGGGTGAATGGTTTTAATTACATTGATAGAATCAAAGCATTAATGCCAAGTAGTGATTTCAGTTTATTCTATGAATGATAAGTAGTGATTTCAGCTTATTTTTTATAAGTTCAGAGAAAGAACAAAGAGTATTTGAATAAATTTTAATATTAAATTCAGATTTACTATTAAGTGCAAACGTACCTATTAAAATTTTTAAAAGAATCTCATATTGACTGTAAATGTAAAACCTGATGATTTTAAGAAGTAAAAGCAATAAAACAAACAAACACATTTTTGACCAAGAGCCATAAGCAGGTTATAGTAAAAAAAAAAAAAAAAAAAAAAACAAAAAAAAACGAAAAAAATGAAAAAAAAAAACCCACATATATACAACTAAACCTCTCTCCTCCTCCTAAAAATAATTTCTGTCAGATTCACAATTCAATTCTTAGATCAAAGAAAATATTAAAACATGCTGAAAGACAGTATCAAAAAAAAAAAGGTTGTAGGTTGTAGGATTTCTAAGAAATAAAGATACTATATTATAAATCAAAAGGCAAAGGATATGGCTAAGAGTGTAGTCAGAGAAAAGTACCAGCATTAAACATTTAATTTATTAAATACAAAATTAAAAAGATGAATTACTTAAATATCAAACTCAAGAAATTAGGAAAGTAAAAATATACTCAAAAAATACAGGGAAAAGTAATGTTAAAATAAAAATATTAGAAGAAAAGAAAGCAGTGGCATAAATAAATCAGAGAGCTATCTTGAAAAAAAATCTGGTTGAAAAAGCTAAGCTAGTAGACACTTTAATGAAGGAAATAAAGGAAAGCAAAACACAAATAGGAATGAAAAAAAGTAATATTCTCTTAATTGAGGGGAAATATATACTTTAAATGTTAAGAGATTTCTTTGAATGTTTCCATATTAATCAGTTAGGGAAAGTTCAGTTCAGTTCAGTCGCTTAGTCATGTCCGACTCTTTGTGACCCCATGAACCGCAGCACGCCAGGCCTCCCTGTCCATCGCCAACTCCTGGAGTCCACCCAAACCCGTGTCCATTGAGTCAGTGATGCCATCCAACCATCTTATCATTTTTCATTGCCTTATCATTTTGCCTTCTCATACTGTTCATGGGGTTCTCAAGGCAAGAATACTGAAGTGGTTTGCCATCCCCTTCTCCAGTGGACCACATTCTGTCAGACCTCTCCACCATGACCCGTCTGTCTTGGGTGGCCCCAGTTAGGGAAAAGTTCTGGATAAAATAGGTATTTTTTTAAAAAATAAAATTGATCTAAAAATAAAAGACAAATAAGCAAATAACAGTGAGATAAATTGGGAGGTTTAAAAAATGTACCCCCTTCCTGGCTATCAACAAACAAACTGGAACTTCCCTTTCAGTCCAGTGGTTAAGACTCTGCTCTGCCAATGCAGGGGGCATAGGTTCAATCCCTGGTCAGGGAAGTAGATCCCACGTGGGGCAATTTATATATAATATATATATCCTGCATTCTGCAGCTAAGGATCTCACCGGCTGGAATGAAGAGTGAAGATCCCAAGTGCTGCAAATAAGACCTGGTGTAGCCAAATAAGTAAATATTAAAAACAAAGGAAATCAGTAAAAAATTCTTCAAATGCAGCATAACTTAGGAGGTCCTATGTGATGTGAGTCCTCTCATTTCTTGCATGATCCCATCTCCTGCTCCTTTTGCTCTGGTTCACAGTCTCCAGCTGCACTGGCTTCCTTGCTGGTGCTTTTTCTTTCTGAAATACTCTCAACCTGAAATATCTGTACAGGGTAGCATTTCGTATCACAAGAGTAAAATGAATTATTTAATAAATGAAAATGGAATAATTAACCTTTGGGGAGGTTGGGTTGTAGACTGTCCCTAATTCACTCCTTACTAAATATATTTCATGTGGATAAAAAAGTTAAATGTAAAAATTTAAACCATAAAAGAAAGAAAGGAAAACATAGGTGCAGAATTGATATTGCTGTACATGCTAGTATAGATATACTAGTTGTGTAGAATATATAGCATTATCTGTTATCTATCTCTCTATCATCCATCTATCTCTAATATTTTAGTGTATAAATGTAACCATAGTTTGGGATAGTGCTAAATATTGGGTTAGCCAAAAAGTCCATTCAGGATTTTCTGTAAGATGTTATGGAAAACCTCAAATGAACTCTTTGGCCAACCCACTATTTTGTAGCTATTCTGCCATTTATTTACGTTGTATTGTTGTTATCTTTGTGCTAGGTTGTGTCCAACTCTTTGCAACCCCATGGATAGTAATCTGCCAGACTCTTTTGTCCATGGAAGTTCCCGGGCACAAGTAGTGGAGCAGGTTGCCATTTCCTATTCCAGGGGACTCTTCTGACCCAGAGATTGAACCTGCAACTTTTGCATCTCCTGCATTGGCAGAAGGATACTTTTACCACTGCACCAGTGTATATTTGTATATAAGGAAGATCTTACTAAGCATGGCATAAAACATCTCTGTGGCAAAATATATCTATATATGTATATCACAACCAAACTAGAAAATAAATAAATAATACACAAAGAAATAAACAATATATACTCAGTAACTTTAGCAATAATTAAAATGCAAATTATAATTAAATATTTATCACTGAATGTATTTTCAAGTATTAAAAATATTGATACTTAATAGTGGCAAATATGAAGTATGTTCTCATTCATATTGGTGAAAGCGTCAGTTGATACCATCTTTTTCTAGACAAATTTGGCTATTTTATACACCCTTTGACTCAGAAATTCCATTTCTGGAAAGCTCATCTTATAGAAATACACAGGAATGATCTAAATGCAAGAGTGTTCACTTGTAAGAAGGATAAAAAGACAAACTTACATATCTGTCAGTGTGGTACTAAATAAATATTTTATAGTATTGTTATAAAATAGTATACTACTATTTTACAAAATTAGATTTATCCATTTGTAATAACATGGAAAGATTTACAAGGTATGTTGTTAGGCAATAAAGGACACATTATAGTATGTATACATTGTATTTGTTATGATTACATGTTTGTAAAAATATACATGCATGGCTATCTGAACACACCACATACACATTTTAGTATATGTGGAGTAAAAGAAATTAGGAGGTATGTTCATTGCCTGTTGCTCAGTCACTAAGTTGCTTCTGACTCTTTGCTACCCCGTGGACTGAAGCGTGCCAGGCTCTTCTGTCCTCCAGTGTCTCCTGGAGTTTGCTCAAACACAGGTCCATTGAGTCAGTGCTGCTATCTAACCATCTCATCCTCTGCCACCCCCTTCTCCTTTTGCCTTCTGTCTTTCCCAGCATCAGGGTCTTTTCCAATGAGTCAGCTCTTCACATCAGGTGGCCAAAGCATTGGAGTTTCAGCTTCAGCATCAGTCCTTTCAGTGAATATTCAGGACTGATCTCCTTAGGATGGACTGGTTGGATCTCCTTGCAGTCCAAGGGACTCTCAAGAGTCTTCTCCAACACCACAGTTCAAAAGCATCAATTTGGCACTCAGCTTTCTTTTATAGTCCAACTCTCACATCCATACATGACTACTGGAAAACCATAGCTTTGACTAGACAGACTTCTGTTGGCAAAAGTATTATGACTACATTATAGTTCCTAATTTTGAGGCTTGGGTATTTTCAATTTCTACCTCACATGCTTTATTAATATTTGTAGTTTTAACAATGAGAATGTATTTTTTTATTTATTTTTTATTTTTTGAGAATGTATTTTTTTTTAAGCACAAGTAAAAATAGAGTTTTAAACAGATTAAAAGGAAGCAGTACAAACATATTCCTGACACATACTTTAGGTTCTGTATAACAGAGATCCAGGACTACATGTCAGGCTGAAGAGTATATACATGATCTAAACATAGTTTCTAGGAAATAAAAGAACTGATAAATTATTTCTGGATAATAGATGGCAAAATGTTCAATATGATCTCTCTTATATGAGTTCTGAAATATGTTGCCTTGAAGGAGATGAACTTCAAACAGTGTTTCACTTATTAACTTCTGTCAATGGATATGCTTTAAAAAAGTGACTTTTTCTAATCTTTGTGATTGTCTTTATTTAAAAAGTGACTTTTTCTAATCTTTGTGATTTGTCTTTGTTTTTAAAAAGTGACTTTTCTAATCTTTGTGATTGTCTTTATCTTTAGAAACATTTATTTCTACTAATGTTTGAGAAATGTTCTCAAAGTAAATTGAGTATGAGGAATTAAAAAAGGGATTTAGTAATATGTCTTTTTGAAATGCTAATCCTTGGAACATTTAAAAAATTTACAGCTCACATCAGTCTCCTGGTTACACTGAATAAATTGGAACATTTGCACTTAGCCAGTTAACTTCCTTGAGGAGGAAGCTTAGCAAGGAGCTTTTTTCTTTAAGTATACCCAAGTGACTTTCTTCATTCTAAAAGATCCTGCAATTCAACAGGATTAAAAGCAACATTGTATACTAAAATCTAATTTCTGGAAATAACAGCAGGCTATTATTTGAGAAAATACTAACTTTGAGGATGAGATAAGTCCAGACCACATGAAAAGTCAAATTGCATATCTTCTCTCCTGCAGACCTTTGTCTTCCAGAGAAAAGAGTAACAGACTTTCTCCAGGAGTA